AGCCTCGCACCGAGGACCTATCCACGTCATCATTTACCCAGAATGCTTTGTGTGCAAATAAAATGGCTCCGTCCGTGTTAAAATATATTTTTAAAAATTATAAAAACTAAACAGCCTAAAGTATTTCTACAGACCATGTTTTGCAGTTTAAATATATGTTTATCAAATAAAATCTAATGCTACAAGTAACCGGGGATCCCTTTGAGTTTATGTTTAATTCGCAGTATTTTCAATTCAGTTTCAAATTAAACTGATTTTCTCTTAAAATAGACACTTGTGTCTGAAAACCTCTTCAGTTTGTTCTCCAGCTCATCTCAAAGTGTAAGAACTGTGTGAGGGAGACAGATCTGTCTGTCCAACCAGGATACTCAGTGTGCTGTGTTTCTGATCAGCCTTCCTGTAACTATTATACTTTGTTAAATATGTAAAATGAAAGAACAGTTGGTGTTGGACTTTAAACTATGAGTTAAAGCAAAACACAAAAACGTGTCAAACAACCAGTTTGTTTGTTTCTCTGTGGAACAAAGGATGACATCAGTTCCTACTTTTCAGAATCGGAGCTGCTGTCTGACCTGTTGACTGCAACATTACCATAATGACGAAGGTTTTACGTTTGATGCAGCACCGCAGCACTTAACACAGATTGTTCTGTCCATTTATTTAATCCCACAATCCTCGGCTCCTTCCATAAAACAGCTGCAGCCGACAGACAGACGTATAAAACAATCTGAGCATCAATTCACTTAAACTGATCTGCTGTCAGATTAAAACGCTCACATGTTCCTTCAGAGAGTGGCTCTGATGTCACACACAGGAAACACGTGTGTTTTATTCACAGACTGAGCAGAATCAAACAGAGGGACTCTGGATCTGTGCACGTTCGTGTAAAACAGCTGGAGCACATGTGGATCAGTCACAYTCATTAAATATGTTTTACAAACAGAACAAACTCATTTTAAACTGATCCGAAAACCTGAACCAGGTACAAACTTCAGGCTGATCTGTGTCTCGTTTAGGCTCCACTGGTTTCCCTTGTGAATATAAATACATACAAATATTTCAAAATAAAATCCGACATTTTGAGAGATGTGCAACACAAAGTCATTTTGATTTAATCTTTTTCTAAAAGAACTGATGCTTTTACACAAAATCATCTTTAAAGTGGAGACAACACTGTCCCAGAGCTGAGAGGGTTCAAAAACAATAAKGTRTACCCATTTKAACATTAAATATCTTGTCTTTGTAGTGGATTTAATTGGTTGAAAAGGATTTACAAATCATTGTATTCAATTCAATTCAGTTCAGTTTATTTATATAGCTCCAAGTCACAACATATGTAGTCTCAGCTGTACATAAAAAGAACAATGTAAAGAAGAAAGCAGCAGATTGTGTTGAATCACTTCATCACAGTCTCCCATCCTGAGCAAACGGTGGAGAGGAAAAACTCCCTGCTAATCAGGAAGAAACCTCCAGCAGAAAATTAGATGCTTCTTCCTGTTGCTCTTCTGTTGGTTTATCTATAAAACACAAAACTATCTAACATGTTTTATATTTTTATGCATTCTATTGCTTCTATCCATTCTAATAATATTTATTATATTACAAACATTTTATTATTTTTCTTACATTGTAGGCCCTTACTCAGGACTATTGGCCAACATCTACCACAATGCAAAGTACCGATGTTCGCTATGGCTGACGTTACGGTGAATCACAAGGTCACATGACTGATGCACACTCATGCTGTGTTAAATAAAATCTATGGTTTGAATCATTTTTACCAAGGGGACAAATTCAGCTGCTTAAACTGATTTAAATCAG